CACACACGTGCCCGTACACCCACGCCCTTCTGTGCGCACACGAACACGCGTGCGGACACACACACACACACACACACACACACACACACACACACACAGAGCAAGAGCCAGCAGTTAAATCACAATGATGACAGAAGAAATTGATATATCGACTTCTTCAAAGTAAGAATTAGACCACCAACTTGGAGAAGACTTTGCTTTGTTTATATTTATAAAGGATCACTGTGGTTTTTCTTCAGATAGTATAAATCTTTTACTTTTTTAAATTTATAAAGGATTATATGTGAGGTATCTATGATACTTCTTCAAACCTGGAAGAAAAATATAGAAAGCCGAATCCATAGTATTTGGTAAATTTAGAAATAAGCAGTTGATATGAGCGGCAGTCCATTTGAATGAACTTCATTAGAAACCAGAAAAATGTGATGTTCTTTGTGTATAATGAGCTGTGGTTCAGGTATGATTTCAGGTTGATTAGTCTTTCTTCTGTTGCATAAAATTGCACACACTTCAATCTTACCACTTGGACATGTGAGCAGGAAGGTCTTGAGTTCTAGGCAAGCCTGGGCTACACAGATGAAGGGGCAGATAGGTAGGTAGGTAGGTAGACACAGAGAGATAGAGGATTAGAGAGATAAATATGAACCAAAGGCATAGAGAATGTGTAATGATGCATCATGATGCGGGTAAAGGACAGACAGGATGACTTTAGAATGAGACAAAAGAAATAAGGTAAAATCTGGGGTTAAAGATGTGGACTTGTCCTTTGTACAGTCATATGTCACTTAACAATGGGGTTATATTATGAGAAATGTATGATTAGATTACTTCATCACTCTGCAAATATCATACAGTATAATTATACAAACTTACACAGATTGTCTACTGTATACCTAGACTATAGTATAATTTCATGGAACTCCCTATATGAGCAGCTCACCGTTGTTTGAAGCATTATCACTTGGCACATGCCTATATTATATGCAAGACTGTAGGTCATTTTAAGAATTTTCTTTATACCAGTGGATGATGAGTTAACAATGAACATGTTATTTAATTTCCCCATATTTGTGAATTTTCTTAAATCTTTTACATTGCTTCTTAGATCCCAAACAAACATTTTGGTGTGGTTCTAGTTTTCTTAAATTGGCTCAGACTTGTTTGTAGCTCACTTTGTAGATTATCCTGGAATGTTGTGCATGCTTGAGATGAATGTGTATTCTATTATTTTGGGATAGAAAAATTACTTATTTTTGTCCCATTTGATCTGAAGTGCACTTGAAGACCTTTATTTCCATATTGATTTTCTGTTTATATGCTCTATATAAATTGTTGACAGCGAGCTAATGGAGCCCATTACTCTTTTTTTACTATTTCATTAGTAATCCCCAATATTTGCCTTATTGTGCTGCTTCAGTATTCAAAATTCATATATATTTTTGATTAATTTATTATAATAAAGAGCTTTTTCCAGTTTTTGACATAGTAGTTTAACTTATCAGATGTAAAGTATAAAACCCTTTTTTGCTTTGTGGGCATCCACTTGCCTGGAATATCTTCTTAGTCCTACTTTTAATTTGTGTATCTTTAGGGTGAAGTGAGTCTTATAGGCAGCCTACAGTTGAGTTTTTTTGCATTAAAGGAAATCTTTCATTTCTTTTGACAAAAGGATGTTATCTGTTATACATAAGATACCCATTGGTAGATGAGGAATGGTTATGTGCCTTAATTTTATTCTAGTTGTTTTTTAGATTTTTCTGTTTAATTTTTAAATTGGCATACACAGTAACATGTTTTCTTATGACCTTTTCATTCACACTTAGTTTTATCTAGTTGCCTTCAGAGTTTTCTTTTTATCTTTGGTTTCCAGCCATTTGATGAGGGGGGGGGGTTGGTGTAGGAATGAATGAGTCTTAGTGTATTTTTTTTAAATTATTTTTGTATAATTCCTTGTTCTTATCTCTTTAAATGTTTTCTTCTGGGGCTTTTAATTCACCTACTATATTAACTGTGAAATCATTTGTTGTTCTCTGTGCTCTCTTATCCCTCTGTTGGTCTCATTTTGGATAGTTTTCATCAACTCTTTTTCTAACTTACTGTAGAGTCTTCTCATGAAGGAATTCTTCATCTTTGATAGCGTAGTTTTCATTCTAGAATTTCCTTCTGACCCTTTATTTCATTTTTACTATTTTCTGTTCAAATTTCACATTTATGGATTTTTTATTTTAATAATTTTCAACATTTCAATTAAAGTATAATTCCTTCTTTTTTCCTCCCACTCCTCCATGCTCTACCCCTACTCCCTTCCAAATGTAATTATTCCCAAATCCGTGCCATCGCTGAATCTAGGTGTTATGTTTCTTGTAATAGATTATTTTTTGTTTTCATCTCTGTGCTATATCTTTGAGTTGTATTTATAACTTGATGTGGATACCCTTTCCATCAGGCTGTTGGTGTTGGGAATTGAAACAAACATCAAGCAAATCAACAATTCAGTAATGTTTGGATTTTGATGTTGCATTCATTGTCTTTAGTGCAACATAGTCATAAAACTCTTCAAAGGATGTGAGCTACTTCTGCATTCCCTTGTAACAGATGCCAGAGTACTAGAAGTTGCTGTCTCACCCACTCCCCCATGTGAGGGCTGTGTGTATCTCTCCCCATGCACTTGAGTCTTTGTGAGTGGTTGGCTTCTGATCCTTATTACTTTGTGATTGCTGCACAGGGAATGGGTGTTCTCTGCGATGTTTTCTCCCTTCTAGTTTTGACAGGTCCTATCACCTGGTCTTGAGAATGGGTCATTTTATGAGTCCTTGGTCTCTCCTACTCATGGGAACATGTCTGCCTTGATCTCTAGTTCTGTATCCAGTTTTGGGGCAGGATCTTCCTCCATGTCCTGGTGATGAAAGATGTTTTGTTTGTGTGTTTGTGTAGGATTCTGGACCCAAGATATTTTTCTGCACTGTGGATAAAGGGTTTTATTCATCCTTGTCCATAGCTATAATGGCCTTTTGTCTTCATCTTATTTTTCCTCCTTGTGGCTTAAATAAAACGTTTACAAATATATTTTAGCAAAATCAGGAAACCATGTCTGTACCTCAGCAGCCACAACTTACCTTTTAATGTCTGCACATATATACTCCCCCAGAAGCAGGGATTTATTTTTCTTGGCTGTGTTTTCAAGTCTTCCAGAGTGCTTGTGGAGGGAGGGATGTGGGCAAGTACTTGTGATTAAAAGCCTTCTTTGAGTCTGGATCTTTAGCTGTTTGCAGCTGTCATATTAGATTAATCTTCCCATTGCACAATTTACTAAAATTTTACCTGATCTCTGTCTGGAGATGTAGCTTTATAGATAGTTTACCTAGAATGTGTGAACCTTAATTTCAGTCCCCACAATCATATAAAATGGATGTGAGTGTGTGTGCCTGTAATCCCAGCACTGGAGACTTGAAGCTGGAAGATCAGAAGATCAGGTCATCTTTGGACACATAGCAAGTATGAGGTCATCCATGTATATGAGATTCTATCTCAAGAACAAATAGACAAATAAATAACCCCCCCCAAATAATGAAGACTTCCCTTTACCTATCAGTATCATGCTACTTCCTTCTCCTATGTTATTGCCAGAGATGGAACAATTAGACTTGGTGTTCTTTGGAATTTAGATTGTTTGCCTGATAACTTCCCTTCTGATGAGCTCAATATGGTATTGTAGATTGTCATCCTTTTGTCAGTGTTAGGTTTGGAGTGATACCATTTTTAGTTTTCTAAATGTTAAAAAAAAAATTTAGTGGTGTTTTTTGGGGTAGGGTTTCTGTGTGTAGTCTTGGCTCTCCTGGAACTCACGTTGGCCTCAAAATCACTGAGGTTACACTCTGCCTGCCTCTGCCTCTCTAGTGCTGGGATGAAAGGGATGTACCACTGTGTCAATACTTCTATCAGTTTTCTACATCTTAAGTTAATTATAGTTATTAAACATTAAAATTTTATTCATGAATACAATAGAAATAATTACTATAAATGATATAACTTTCTAGATGTCCTTTTTCTTTTCTTTCTTTTTTGTTTGTTTGTTTGTTTCTTTTTTTTTTTTCGAGACAGGGTTTCTCTGTGGCTTTGGAGTCTATCCTCGAACTAGCTCTTGTAGACCATGCTGGTTTTGAACTCACAGAGATCCGCCTGCCTCTGCTTCCCAAGTGCTGGGATTAAAGGTGTGTGCCACCAACACCCGGCTATCCTTTTTCTTAACCTAGTTTTAGTTTTGATTCATTCTATCTGTCTGTCTATCTATCTATCTATCTATCTATCTATCTATCTATCTATCTATCTATCATGAGCAAGTGTGTGTGCACAGAGGTCAGAAGAGGGCATTAGAACTCCTAGGCTGAAATTACAGGCCATTGTGAACCATCCATGTGTGGGACCTGGGAACCCTGGTGTGGTCTTGAAGAGTCACATGCACTCTTAACTGCTGAGATAGCTCCAGTGTTTTAAACTATACCAGGGTTTACTTTTTTGCACAACTCTGTCTGATAGGCTGAGAATATTTGATAGTGTTTCCTTTTTACAGTTAAATTGTGTTCAGACTGGTGAAGAGATGTGTTTATCTCTCTGTGGAGAGTCTAGTTCACTCTAGTTGACATTGTGTTTCTGGTTTTAACCTAATGGGTTATGGCTTCTTTGTGGGGATAAAATTGTCTTCCTGTATATCTGAAGCTAAACTGTTGAAAAATAAGAGTAGTATTGGTAGTTTAGTTTAATATTTTGTTTAATATTCAAGGAAATGTTCCACAAACATAATTTTATAATTAGCATGTATATTAAAGATAGAACTAATGCTAACATTTTAATGATTAATATGTTGTTCAAGCAAGTTATTATTCTATAGTTTATAAAATTATACTTTGTATTCTTGTAATCTCATCCTGTGTATTCTTATTATAAAATTTTTTGATGATCAGAAAACCACTTTTTAAAACCCCTCCTTTTTTCCCCCACAGAAAACTGCATCAACAGTTTGAAATGTATAAGGAGCAAGTGAAGAAGATGGGGGAAGAGTCACAACAGCAGCAAGAGCAGAAGGGCGATGCTCCAACCTGTGGGATCTGCCACAAAACAAAATTTGCTGATGGCTGTGGCCATAACTGTTCATATTGCCAAACCAAGTTCTGTGCTCGCTGTGGAGGTCGAGTGTCATTGCGCTCAAACAAGGTACAGGCCTGAAAAGTGATTGTGTCCCAGTAGGTCAGCTTGTTGTGAATGGAATGGAACACATACCTGAAATCACTTAGATAAAAGTTTTAATTTTTTACTGAATGTGAGAGGTAATCTCTTACAGTTTTGGTTAGAATTGTAGGGCATTTTACTTTCATTCACAGTGAAGACACTTAGAGATCAATTATCTGTCCTTTGTATGGAAAATGAGAACTCTCTGACTCAGGGAGACTAAGACTGGTTTTCATAGCCACACTTCGGATTACTAGCAGAGCTTTGATAGAAATTTCTCTATGACTATGACATGTTCACAAACTCTGTAGTCATTTTTCTTCCTTGGACATTTGGAACGGGACCATTTCAGCTCCGAGATGTTTTTCTTCATTTTGTAGCTTTGGAAGCTATACTTTCCTTTGTTTTTGTTTTTGTATTGATGAAATAGCATTCAGCTATGGAATTTAAAGATCTGTTGTTTCATAGTTATTCTAGGCTTTATCTAAGCTTTATCCACTTTCGTGCATATGTAAATGTTATTCATAGAACACTTTGTCAAATTAGCAAAACCAGTATCGAGATGCTCTTCTCACTAAATTCTTTTGAATTTATTTCCTAGTTAATCCTTTTTTTCCCCCCCTGAGGCAGCATTATTCTGTGTAGCTCTGTAGATCTGGCTGGCCTCAAACTCACAGAGATTCACCTGTCTTTGCCTAGAGTGCTGGGATCAAAGGCATGCGCCATCACCACCCAGCCCCTAATTAATATCTTATCACCAACTAATTACTTAGATAGTTCTTACATACAGAGCTAATCTGTATGCACATTACTTGGGAATAATTGTAGGAGTTAGTTCTGTGTGATTTCACGTCTTCATTTTCTTATTGTTTCTTACAGTGTTTTGTTTGCCCAGAACTAATCCTTTATTTCTTCTCGTGCTTCTTCTTGGTTTGATGATGGTTTGTTCATGCTTATATGTGTATGTGTATATGTGAATGTATGTATTTATGTTATATGTATGAATGTGTGTGTGTGTGTGTATATATATATATATATATATATATGAATTAACACATTGATATAATTTTAAGTAAAAGTGATATAAGCAGAAATCCTTAGTCTTGGAAGGAATGTATTCAGTCTCCAATACTAGTTATAATGTTACCTTTAAATTTGCAGAGTTATTTTTTTTTAAGATTTTGAATATGCATTGGACTTCCCCAAATGCCTTTTGCCATCTATTGAGATTAATTTTTATTTTTTCCTTTCTTTAAGATGGTGAGGTGTATTGACTGACTTTTGAATGTTAAATTAACTCTGTTTGGAATAAATGGAGTTGAAATAAATTCCATTTGGTCATGATATATAATCAATTTTATGTTAATGAGTTTGATTTGCAAATGTTGTTCCTTGATTTTGGAATTAGCATCACACTGGCCTAATGGAAAAGATTAGAATGTATTTTACTCTAATAGGAGAGTTTGTATAGAACTGATATCACTTCATTTTTTTGATGTCTGATCCACATGCTTGTGCTACACAAGTACTAGTTTAGTTATTACAATATATATTAGATTTTATCTGTGAAGTTACCTGGGCATGCGGTTTTTATCATAGGAAAGATTTTAAAGTACACTTTCAACTTTTTATTTGATTCAGTGTTTTTTGTTTTGTGTCTGTGAATAAGTTTTTATAATTGTATCTTCAAGGAATTTGTCCAGTTTCGTAGAAATGCTTAAATTTATTGATATAATGTTGTCACCTAAACCAGAAAGCCAGGCCTCAGATTTCTTGGCTTTATCACTTTCCCCCACAACTTTTAACATTTTAATAATTTTGTTTCTGTATGTATAAATTGCTGACTGGTGTCTTTAGATTCATTTAATTCTAGTGTCTTAACTGGTCTGTCTGCTGTAGTCTTGGCTTCTCACACACACACACTGCTATAGTGATTCCTCATCTCTCGAGTGACTGAAGCTTCTGTGTCATAAAGAGCCTCGTGGTCTGTTCCCTGAGTGCCTTAGAGCATTTCACTAGGTTCTCTTGTTCCAGATAAGCCATACTACTAGCACTACTAGCACTCAAGTATTTCCATCGGTGTCTGCTATGCTTTGGCTCATCCTTCTATGCAGTCAGAAATAGTCTTCCCTCTAGACCTCACTTTGAAATCCTTACCTACTCAAACATATGACTAGTTTTTGTCAACATAAGCATCATTCCTTCATAATCCGTCTGTGGGTAGTCTGTGTGACTTGACTACTTATTCTTTTGTGATATCTCTAATCTAGTATTTTCATATTTTATTGTTAATTGATTGTATCATCTTAATTCACTTTGACTATTCAGTTCATGTTTCTATGTACTTAGTATGTAATGGGTCAGTATATTAACTGTTGAGTGGATGACTGGAAGAAAAATATTGGTGTAAATATCATAGGCATGCTATTTTGGGATACATATCATCACCATAATTGTTTAAACATTGAATTTTAATTTATTTTTAATAATAGCTTTTCTTTATCCTAGGGAATTTTATGCATTTATACAATGAATCTTTATCATATATTCCCATCCTTTCTGCCTCCCCCCAAATGCTCCACAACCAGTCCTTCCCAAAACATTACATTGTGTAATAACATCACATTACAGTGTATAATTAAAATTAAAAGGTGTGGGCTATCTGCTAGAGAATAGGAAAGATACTAGTGGGTACATATTATATAAAAAGAGATTTTTCCTCACCAGCAGCTCTCAACTGTCAATACCTTTCCAGTAAGGGATGGGGCTTAAAGATTACCTCCCCTATCTTTGTGAGAAGTTTGGCTGGATTGATTGTGTAGTTCTTGGGCAAGCAGAAGATTGCATGGAATGCAGGATAATTTTGTTTGAATTCTTAAATAATAATTTTAGGTTATATTTTGGAATTAGCTTGCTAACTACTATGTTTTCATAATGCTTTTAAAAAAAAAAATGCATCCTTATTTTTGTTTAACCCCTTTTCCCAGTGCACTAACCCCACTTAATCAGTTAAACTTTAGCACTCCCCACGTTCTTGATTGCAGTATGTATTCTACTAAGCCTCCAACTGTATTGTTTAATTGTGTTGTGAGGTTGTCGCCATCCAGATGGCTGTCTGTATCTTTCTTTGGGCTAGATCTTCCTCCCCTATTTTTTTTGTACTCCTGCACCTCTACCTGCCTCAGTATTCCACCTCTCTGCTCTCATTTTCGCTATCAGTTACTATTCCTATTCATAAAGTATCCCCTGCCCCAACACCCCTTTCTAGTGTCTTGGTTTCTACATTTGCTGCAAGTTAATACACAAAGTTTTGAGGCTAGGATGTGCATATGAGACAGGAAACTGAGTTTGTCGTTCTAGGCCTTGTTATTTCACTCAGTGTGCATTTTTTCCCAGTTCCATTCATTTACCTAGAGATTTCATTTTCATTTACAACCCAGTAACATTACAGTGTGTGCACCCCCCCCCCCACCTTCTTATACATTCATGTGTTGATGGAAGTCTGGGCTGGTTCTGTGTCTCAGCTGTTGTGAATACTGTGTCTGTGAACTTAGGTGTGCAAGTAGTAAGATGTGAAGTTCTTTTAACTGCACATGCACAGGACTAGCATAGCTGGGTCATAGGGCAGTTCTGTTTCTAGTTTCTTGAGAAACACATGGGCTGCTTCCCAAGTGGATGCATTGGTTTATTTTCCCCCCACACACTCTGTAGGAGTCCTGTTGTTCTTTTGTTACAGTTATAGGAATAAAGCTGGAGAAAGGGGTGGGGGCAGTCCCAAGTGGGGGTCCCAAGGTAAAGGACCACGTGGGAGAGCATAGCGGTTCCGCAGGTGAGGGGGCCAAGACAGAGGGAATAAATAAGCGCCAGGAAGATAGAGCTTAAGTGAGGAGTTTATTTAGAATGGGGAGTGAGGGGGAAGGGAAGAGACTTAGAGGCACCAGGAACAGAAGAGGGGGGAGGAGAGAGAGGGGGGAGGGGGGAGGGAGAGGAGAGGGAGAGTGCAAGCTGAAAAGAGAGCAAAGAGCAAAGAGAAAGCAGAAGAGAGCATAAGTGGGCAGGGGCCTGACTTTTAAAGGGGTCCTTTGCACCTGCTGCAGACTAGTACTCATGGAACTCTGGGCTGACCAGAGCACTGCCTGAGTGCATTCTGCCAGGTGACAGGGGTGGGCCAGCATAATGTCTGAGTCCTTACAGTTCTCCCCCACACTTATTTTTGTTCACTTCCACACGAAAATTTATTCCTGATGATGTGCATTCTCAATGGGGTGACATGGAATCTTGAAGCATTTTTAATACTGATGGCTAAGAATGTTAACAGTTTTAAAAATGTGTTTCTGAGCCATTTGCATTTCTTCTTATGAGAATTTTCTATTCACTACTATAACCCATTTTTGTTTTTTTTTTCTTTTTTTAAGGAATGTTGTTTGTTTTCTTAATATATAGTCTTTTTTAGTTCTTTGTATAGTCTAGATACTAATCCTGTCAGATGAGTGGCTGGCAAAGATCTCTCCCATTCTGTGGGCTGTCTGGGCCCTCCATTCACACTTTCCTTTGCTGTACAGAAGCTTTTGAGTTTCATGAGTTTCCATTTGTTGACTGTTGGTCTTATTTCCTGTGCTATTGGAATCTTATTCATAAAGTCCCTTCCTGGGCCTGTACGTTGACGAGTGTTTCCTACTTTTTTCTGTTGTGGTCTTAGGGTGTTGGTTCTTATGTTGAGATCCCTGATCCATTGGAGTTGAGTTCTGTGTAGGGTGAGGGATAAAAATTTAGTCTCCCTCTTTCTCAGCACATTGAAGGTAGCTTGACTTGCATCATTTCTTGAAGGTGCTGTCTTTTTTGAAATGTATAGTTTTGGCATCTTTAAAACAATCAGGTAATTATAGTTGCTTGGACTTAGAGCTAGGTCCCAGTCCTATTCTATTGAACTCTGTAGACAATATTTTTGTATAGAGGCAGAATTTAATTTTTTTAAAGAGAGACTG